CCCCTGTTGCCCCTGCCCAGCGGCGAGGAGGTGCCCACCCTGGCAAAGCTCTCGGGAGCCCCGTGCTCCGCAGCCCGTGGAGGTGCCAGTCTGCAACGGAGCAGAAAAAGCCGGAGCAGCCGGGGAGGGACGGGAGCGGCCGGGTGGGCTCATGCACCACCAGGAACAAGGACCCACGTCGGGGACCCCCCCCGGGGGAGACGGGCACAACCCTTGCGACCACCCCGCGGTGCGGCGCCAGGTTTGGAAATGAAGCTCTTAGCGCTGTTTAAAGGCAGCGCACGGGGAGAGGGGGAAGAGTCATTAAGCAAACGACGGGCATCCTTTTTAACTCGTCTCGCTGGCCCGGGAAATCCCCGCCGGCCCGGGGAGGCAGCGAGAGCTTTGCTGTCTCGATGTGCTCGGCTGGTAGCAGATGGTGTGGGGCAGGGGGTGATGTGGCTGTCCTCGGCGGACAGCGGTCCCCCGGAGCGTGCTCCGTCCTGGCAGCGCGGGAAGTGACAGCGAGACCCTGATGCTCGGCTCCTGGGAGAGAGGAGACAAGAAGAGATGGGAGCCCGGGAAGGAGGGGGAACTACAGAGCCCAGCCCAGAAGCTCCAAATGATCACAATAATAACGCTAACTGCCCGCCGCGGCGTGCTGCTGATGGGGCTGGGGGGATCCGTGTGAGAAGCGGCAACGGCGTTCGTGGGGAGCAGGGGGATGGAAGGGGGGGGAGGTGAGGAGGGGGTGTTGCCTCCTTCTTCATGGCCAAGCTAAAAACGACTCTTCCTCCTGTCCCTGGGTGCGTGGGGAACATCTGGGGAGGCGGTGGTGCTTCTCTGAGCGTGGGGGACGTCTCCGTGGGTGGGTGTGAGGAGCCCCCACCCCTGCTCCTGACAGAGCCGGGGAGGCAGCAGCTGGCCCTGCAGGGATACTGGTGACAGTCGTGCAGGGACAGTGGTGACAGCCGTGCAGGGACAGTGGTGACAGCCATGCAGGGACGCTGGTGACAGTTGTGCAGGGACAGTGGTGACAGCCGTGCAGGGACACTGGTGACAGTTGTGCAGGGATAGTGGTGACAGCCGTGCAGGGACGCTGGTGACAGTGGTGCAGGGACACTGGTGACAGTCGTGCAGAGACAGTGGTGACAGCAGTTCAGGGATGCTGGTGACAGTCATGCAGGGACGCTGGTGACAGTGGTGCAGGGACAGTGGTGACAGCAGTTCAGGGATGCTGGTGACAGCTGTGCAGGGACAGTGGTGACAGTCGTGCAGGGACAGTGGTGACAGCCGTGCAGGGATGCTGGTGACAGCTGTGCAGGGATGCTGGTGACAGTCGTGCAGGGACGCTGGTGACAGCCGTGCAGGGACAGTGGTGACAGCCATGCAGGGACATTGGTGACAGTCGTGCAGGGACAGTGGTGACAGTCGTGCAGGGACAGTGGTGACAGCAGTGCAGGGATGCTGGTGACAGCTGTGCAGGGACAGTGGTGACAGCCGTGCAGGGACACTGGTGACAGTCATGCAGGGATGCTGGTGACAGTCATGCAGGGATGCTCACACGGGGCAGCCATCAACCAGCCTGGCTCCAGCTGCCACCCAGCTGAGCCAGCCAGGCACGGTGCCCAGCCTAAGGAGCCTGCTCCAGCCCCAAGCTCCAGTGCAGCACCTGCAGCGCCCCAGCACGGTTTGCAGGGCCGGGCTGGGCACTCCAGGCACTGGGATGGGTACTCGTGGCACTGGGATGGGTACTCATGGCACTGGGATGGGTACTCCAGGCACTGGGATGGGTACTCATGCCACTGGGATGGGTACTTGTGGCACTGGGATGGGTACTCGTGGCACTGGGATGGGTACTCCAGGCACTGGGATGGGTACTCGTGGCACTGGGATGGGTACTCATGCCACTGGGATGGGTACTCGTGGCACTGGGATGGGTACTCCAGGCCCTGGGATGGGTACTCGTGGCACTGGGATGGGTACTCCAGGCACTGGTATAGGTACTCGTGGCACTGGGATGGGTACTCGTGGCACTGGGATGGGTACTCCAGGCACTGGGATGGGTACTCGTGGCACTGGGATGGGCACTGGGCCAGGTACTCCAGACACTGGGATGGGTACTCATGGCACTGGGCCAGGTGCTCCCAGCACTGGGATGGGTACTCACGGCACTGGGATGGATGCTCCACGTGGCACTGGGACAGGTTCTCCAGGCACTGGGATGGGTTTTCCACATGGCACCGGGAACTCGGGCTGCTGCCAGCTCAGGCGTTCCGTGAGGGCACAGCCGTGTCCCAAAATCCCGCTGCTGCAAAGCACAGAGACTTCCCTGGCTGGAAATGGGAGGCTGGGTCATTCTGGGACTTGTGTGTCCCCGCTTTGCCCGGGCCCCGTGTGTGGGGAGACAGAAGTGGGGCAGAGACGAGACCCTGGTGACGGGCTCTGCCCTGGCAGTTTGCTTTCCAAACGGGCTCCAAAGAACTCAGCCGTGGCTGACACCTCCCCGGCAGCCTCAAGGGCACGCAGGGAAGTCAATCCAGTCCTTGGTCTGTGTAAGATGAGATAAAGGGAGCGAGTCGTCCAAGAGCCTTTCAGCTTTCACATCAGGAGGCCTTGGTGTGGAGAAATCTCCTGCCCTCACCCAGATCTGCCTCGTGGACCCAACCATCCCTTGGACCCGTCCCTGGGACTGTTCTCCCCATCGTGGAGCAAGGGGAAATGCAAATGTGGCAGCTTTCGCGTGCTTAAATGCCGAAAGCAACATGGGAACTGTGTGTCATTGAACCAGGGCTGGATTCCCTCTCCTCTCCCTGTCTTCTCTGTTTGAATAAGCAGCTCCTGATCTCCCTGCCGAAAGCTCGTGGCTCTCCAGTCCCCCAGTGCTGCGTTTTAATTAACGTTCGCTCGCTGGTCCTGTGTCAGTCACACATGCCACAGTGATACTGGGCGCAGACGGTCGTTTATCACAGCGGTCATGAATTCCTCTCAACCCCGAGCAGCCAAACACCCAGAGAGCCCAAGTTTAAAACTCTCCCACCACTTTAAAATATTCCAGACAGCCTTCCGCATCCACGAGGGTGCCAAGAGGCAGGCAGGCAAATACAGGAGCCATTAATCATTCCCTGGCTGAACTGAGCAAGACGAGCCAGCTGAGCGGGGACACAGCTCTTTTGGGGGAGCGGCCCGAATTTCAGCACCGATTCTGATATTTCCTCGCTCAGACACTGTAAATCTCTGGGCGTTCGCGCCGCACACACCGCGTGCGAACTCCGCGGCGTGCCGGGGGGGGAGCTGGAAGCGGGGGTTTTGTTAAAGCTGCGTAGCTGGTGGACGTGTCCCGCGCTCCCCGGGTGGTGAGGTGTGCCGGGGGAGCTGCAAAGCGGCACTGGGAGGGCTGGAAGGAGCACTGGGAAGGAGGGGAGGGAGGTGAATGGCGGGGTGTGCTCATCTCTGCTGGGGTGACCTCCGGAGGAGAGGGGACCTCGTCTCTGAAGGAGAGGACGGGGGTCCTCGGCGGCGGGGAGGCTCTTCCCTGGGCCACCCAGCGAAGTCTCGCCCTGTACCAGCACCCTGGTGCTCTTTGCAGGGCTTTCACCCAACGCAGAGGTTTAGCAGGTCCTCCTGGCCCAGCGGGCTCCCGGCCGCAGTGATGCTGGACCCCGCGACCCCGGGGCTGTCCTCGTCCCCCCCAGATTTTGAACACGTGCCTGGACCAGGGAGGGGGGGGGGGCAAAGCAAGCGAGCGTGGGAACTCCCGCAGCCCCAGCACTGCTGGGTCACCCCGCTTGGTTGGAAGCTGCTTTTTCCCGCTGGCAATCTCCGTCTCATCTCGGCATTTGAGCTTTCCAGCCGGCAGTGAAATGAGATCTGCGAGCGAAGCCGCAGCGGGGAGCGGGCCGGGTGTGTGGACACAATGGCAGCGCGTATCATTAAGGAGAGGATGGAGACTGACACGGGGAAGGGGCGGGGGGGGGGTGGGGGAGAGCTAAGGGCCCCCCTGGTGCTGCCATCAAGGCTCTGAAATGGAAATGCGAGGTCCTCAGCACGCCCCCCCCCCCCCCCCCCCCCCCCGCCCCTCGCCCACCGGTTGGCAAAGGCTCTATTAGCAGGATGTGAGTAATCATCTTAAGTAGCTATCAAAGTGCACCAGCTTGTTAAGCATTTAGCCAGGTTGTGCTGACGTGACCTCTCTCTTCAATCTTCCCAGCCTCGGCGCGAGCGGCTAATTACCGGCACGCACCTGCCGCACACCTCCTTTACCCCCTGCAAAAAAGGACAGGTCGGATCCAACGTGTTGCTCGGGACGGTCTTGCCTTCCCTGTGCCGTCCCTCACCTTTTATTACGAGCAGTAGCCAGGCAGAAGTGGGGGGAAGCCCCCGCTTTGCAAGCAGTGGTGTTGCCAGCTGGCAGTCCCCAGCGTGAGGGCTGCTCCGGAGGGGTTTTTTATTTTGGGGGGGGGGGGGGGGGGCTGGTGGCTGTGGTCGGGGCCCACAAACGGTGCTGGAGCTACTGGGAAAGACCTGCCGTGGGTTTTGCAGGCTGCGGTGGGGGCTGAGCAGCCCCGGTGACGGCGGGGGTCCGGGAGGAGTCACGTCCTACTGGGGGGGGGGTCTCTGTGATGGGTGATTTCCAAGAGGAAGGGGCTGAGCTGGAGCCTGCTTGTGGCCCATGCTGGGCAATATACCCACCTGCAGCGACAGCTCCTGTCTTCGTTGCTTCCATACTAAAGGACTCATGGGTGCATAGCCTTCTTCTTCTCTCTCCCTCCACAGAAAAGCGATGGCTGTCTCCCCCTGCGTGTCCCCAGGAGCAGGCTGTTGCGTGGGGAAGGCTGACACCACGTCCCCGGGGGTTCTGCAGGGACGCTCGTGCCGTCGAGCTGAGCGTGGTTTTCCCCACCTGCCAGCTCAGGGAGCCGGGCTCAGCACCCACCCGGGGCCATCGGGCAGGGCAGGAAGGGCAGAAGACAAGGAAAGGAACAGCTTTTTTAAATTTTTTTTTTTTTTTTTTTTTTCAGGAGACACGGCAGCCTACAAAGACGGCGTTTACTGGATCAAGGGCCGCACCTCGGTCGACATCATCAAAAACGGGGGGTTCAAAATCAGCGCTCTGGAGGTGGAGCGTCACCTGCTCGCGCACCCGCACATCACAGGTACGCTGCTCTTCCCTGCTCCCCGTGCCGGGAAAGGGCCGGTGCGTGGGAGCCCGGCTCCAGCGACAGCCCTGGCTCGGCGGGTGCAGACGTGAGGCTGCCCGAGGGCTCAGGCTTGGAGGCTCATTCCCAACCTTCCCACCAGCGAGGCTGGCTCCCAGCGACGGCTACATTTAAAGCCCGCTCTTACTTGTCTCCTGGGGCTGAAGCCGTGAAGCCTGCGGCCGGGTGCCGAGTCAGCAGCAGCTCTCATCTGGTTTTGGAACTGAGTCTGTAATTAAATCAGTCCTGCCCATGTGCGTGGCTCTGTGAGAGGGGGTGGAAGCGGTGCCCCCAGCTCCACGCCACTCGGGACATCATACTCCTCCCCGTTGACTCTCTCAGTTGCTCAAACCATGGGGACTCCTGCCTTTTCCTTGGTGAAGAGCTCTGCTCTTGCAAACTGTGTCAGCACAAAATGCCCGGTGTTTTCCTGCGCTAACGTCCCACGGCATCCTCCTCCCCGCGCTGCTCTGCCCTGCGCACCGCCGGCACGAACCAGCAGTGCTGAACCCCTCTCCTAACCCACCCCTCCGGCCCCAGAAATCGCTCGGGGGTGTTTCTCAGGCTGAGCCCTCTGCTCTCTCTGCAGACGTAGCTGTCATCGGGCCCCCGGACATGGTCTGGGGCCAGCGGGTCAGCGCTGTCGTGCAGCTGCGCAAGGGCGAGATGCTCTCCTTGAAGGATCTGAAGGACTGGGCCAGGTAAGACGCCGCGGGGCAGTGCACGGTGAGCGGCACAGCACGGGGAAAGAGGGCTCAAACCCTGCAGCGTCCTCGCTGGGGACGTGTCAGAGGAGAGGGGAAGGGGTGGCCCGGCAGCGACGTAGTGCCTCAGGCTCTGGGCATGGAGAAAAGACCTCAGCTCCTGCCAGGAGGTCGCTGAGCACGTGGGATAATGGAAATAAATGCGCCTTTCACCCCAAAAGTGCCTTTGATAAATGACCTACACGGTGCAGCCAAATGGCTCTTACCCCACAGCCCCAAGCCCGGCTGCTGGCAGAAAACACAGCCCAGGGGAAGCTTCACGTTTTCTCAGCAGCAAGAACCTTTGCTCAGCTTTTCCCCCAGCGCTGCTGCGATCGCTCCTCGCTTGCCTTCCTCCCCGCTGGAAGCCGGCCCAGCCCAGTCCCCGGTTAATCCCAGAGACCTCTCCCATGGTGTTTGGAGAGCTGGGAGGGGGACACGCCAGGGCTCATGGACCTTGCTTGGAGTCATCACGGTACCAGCGAGCGTGGCGCAGAGCAGCAGCCACCCACCCTCCTGCAAGGTTTCGGCGTTAAAACCTGCACTTGCTCCTTCAAAGCAGGCAGAGGTTGGCCAGTGCCAAGGTTTCGGGCATCAGCCACGGGAGCGTAAGCAGGAGGGAGCCAGGAAACAGAATCACCGGGTTTATCGCTAATATTCCATTAGCAAAATATTTAATAGCAGATTCTTCTTTTTCCTGGCAACTCCCTCCTTCAGGCTGCGGATATTTTTGGCGAGGCTGGCGCTATTTTGCAAGCGGCAGGAGCACTTGTTTCATCAGGGGCTGCGCAGCAGCCAATTAAAGATTTCCCCTGGATTTGCAAAAATCACAGTTGGGGGACTGCGATTTAGCAAATGCAAGGAAGACGCTAGCTGGCCGGCTGCTGCTCTGATTAAACAGTTACGTAGTGGGGGAAGAGAAGCAAACAAAGAAACCAAACCCGCAGCAGGTCGCTGCCTGGGCAGAGGGGCTGAGACCTTGCCAGGGTGTCCCTCCTGCTGCTGGGCCCACATTAACCCTCGGGCTGCTGCTCGCCGGGGACTCCTGTTCCTCCCAGTACAGCCCATGGCCGCCAGCAGCTTTTGCGTGGTTTTGCTGATGTCCTCCTGCAAGCGATGTCCCTTCTTGGCCAGGCTCAGCCTGTCCTGGTCGGAACAGGGTCTGGTGCTCAGGGGGTTCTCCAGCCAGGACCCTCCCCGGCCTCAGCACGGGGCAGGAGTGATGGAGAGCAGGGGAGGGAGATCTTCATCCCTAAACCTCCTGGCAGGGACACCGGTGACCCCAGCAGATCCCTTCACCCGCCACCCACGGCTGCGCTTTGAGGGTCACCCGGGTGTCGTTCCGGGGGTCCCTGGTGCTGAGCAGGGGGCTGCATGCCAGGGTGTTGTCCCCTTGCCCCTGCACGTCTCCTCCCATCGCCGTCCCCAGCTCTGTGGGCAGACACGATGCCGTTCTGCCCGTGCAGATGGAGGGCAGGACCCTTGAAACAAAAGCCCTCGGATGGTTTGGGGGGGGGGGCCGGACGCCCACTGCTGCTCCCTGCCCAGCGCTGGCCCCAGGCACCGCTCCAGCTCCCCCCCCGCCCGCCTATCCCTCTCGCCCTGTCTCTCCCCTTTATTTTTTATGTCACTTAAATCCGTTTGGCCCTTTTTCTCGCACTCCCTGGCAGGAGACACATGTCCCTCTTCAGAGTGATTCATTTTGCGGCTTTCGCCTCCAGTGCCGCTTCCCGGCGACAGGCGCCATCCCGAGTTAGAGGCGTCCATATGGCGGGGGGTGCTGGTGGCAGGCGGGGGGAGGAAGGCCGGGCGATGGTTGAAGGGCTCAGCAGACTTGGCATCTCACATGAGAGTCAGTGCCAGGACGCTGCCGGAGCTGGGCACGGCCCCAGGTTGGTGACACACAGGCAGCAGAAGGCAGGAGAGCCCCCCACCCCCACACACCCTCCCCCCCCCCCGCCGCCCTCTGCTCCCTGCGAAGGGCACGGGGACGATGCTCAGCGCTCAAACTCCCTCCCGCAGCGGGAAGGGGACCCCCCCCCCCCCCCCCCCCACACACACACACACAAACACAGGTCAAAACACAGGGCTGCGAGTCGCGGGCAAGTCACCAGCATGTGCCCGGGGAGGTGGCCCACCTGCGGTCTCGGTCCTCGGGGATTGGGGGACACGTCGGGGTCCGACATCCCCCCACGCCACTGCGCTGTTTTCCCGTGCTGTCAATTAACGGGGGGGGGGGATCGATGAGGCTGCATCAGGGACTCTGACTCCAACTCGCTGAAAGGCTCTCCCTGCCCCCTCCCGAGGGGTGGGTGGGTGTTTTGGGGTGCTGGAGGGGTGCGTTGTACTCAGTGAGTGCCCCAGGTCCCCCTCACCAGTGGGGCTGGGTGTGGTGGGCAGAGCCGGGTACCAGTAACAGGGTACAACTGAGTCAGGTCCAGGGTGCAACCAGGGAGCACAGGCAGGAGCAAAACCAGGCTGGAGATGAGCTACGGCGCGGGGCCAGAGTCTGCCCAGGAGATTGGGGCAAGGACAGGGCTGGAGATGAGCTCCACATCACCGAGGGGTCCCCCCCAGGGATGAGCTGCTGGCAATACAGCTCCCTGCAGACAGGCTGGGAGCAGGCACCCCGCAGCACAGCTCGGGGTGGGGGGGGTGGGCTTGGGCCCAGGGCTGAGCCTAAATGGGCTCCTGGGGCGTGGGAGGGGGCTGCTCGGAGCTGTGGGTGCTTCCAGGAGAACTCACCCTGCTCTCCATCCCCCCCCTCTTCCGCAGCACAGAAATGTGTGACCCGTGACTGGGGCGAGCACTCAGCCCCACTGCTCTCCCAGGGTCTGTGTTGAGCCCTTAGGAGAGAGCCAGGGCATGGCTAGCGTTCCACCAAAGCCACTTGCCCACGGCCCCGCTGCCTGGAGAGCTGCGGCTGGGGTGGCTTGGTTGTATGCCGTGAGGGGCTGCAGGATGCAGGGGCCTGGAGCAAATCCTCCTGGGTCCTGGAGCAAATTCTCCCGGGTCCCAGAGCAAATCCTCCCTGGGTCCCAGAGCAAATCCTCCCCAGGTCCAGGAGCAAATCCTCCCCGGGTCCCAGAGCAAATCCTCCCCGGGTCCCAGATCAAATCCTCTGCAGGTCCCGAAGCAAATCCTCTGCGGGCCCTAGAGCAAATCCTCCCCGAGTCCCAAAGCAAAACCTCCCCAGGTCTGGGGGAGTTTGCGGGGTCTCGGGACGGGCTCTGTAGGACGGAGGGGCTGGAAGCACTGGTCTGTCGGCCGTTAACGGACTGCGCTTCTTGCAGGGACACCATGGCACCTTACACCATCCCGACTGAGCTGATCGTGGTGGAGGAGATCCCGCGCAATCAGATGGGAAAAGTCAACAAGAAGGAGCTTCTCCAGCGCTTTTACCCAGCCTAGTGCGTGGCCTCAGGCCACAGCTGGGAGCCTGGGGGGTCTCTGCTCCTCTGCCGCATCCATTCTCCCCCCACAACAGCGCTGACGAGGTGCCAGCAGTGAGGAGCAGTGGCAGGTCTGGGCTCACTGCGGTCTGGTCCGTGAATAAAGCCCAACAAAAAGCAGGATTCATCCCACACGGTCTCTTTGGCTGACCTGAGCCCGAGCTGCAGGGCCACCTTGCTTGTGCAGGAGCTGTTTGCAGGAGGCTCGGGGCAGTCCTGGATCTAAAAACGTGGGATGAACACAGAGTGGGGGGGCGGTCCTGGGCCAGAACTGCCCCCTGTGCCAGTGCTGGCAGCAGGCACATGCTGGCCAAAATCGCTCTATTGATGGTGGGAGGCAGGTGAAAAACAACCACCACGAACCCTCCTGCATCCACAGCAGCAGCTGCTCGGGGGCAGACGGGCCCCACTCGCCCTCCGTGGGTTTCAGCCCAGTGATGCCAACCCACCGGAGCCACTCTGCCTGGGTGGGACGGGCTGTCCGGGCACCCCAGCTCCCCCTCCTCACCTTCCTCTGCCTCTGGATGCTCGTCCCCATTCCCGTTATGGCACTGCCTCAAGCCACATGCACCTCATCGCCAGATGAAATTACTCTCGAGATGGAAACGCCTGTCTTCAGCCAGCTGCCTGGTTATTTTGCATCCTTTCTGCCCTTTCCCACAGACTCAGCAACTTTCCCCGTGCCTCGGTTTATAGAGAGGGAGCGGATCCCCTCACCGGTGGGACCCTGCTCCTCGTGGGATGCCCCATAACCTGCTGTGAATCGGTGCCGTCCCCCTCCCCGCTCCGCCGAGCCCCACCTCCCATTTCCCAACAGAAGCGAAGAATAAATACAAAATCACAAATAAACCCCGGCTGCCCTCACCCACCCGGCCCATCGCCCCCTCGCCCAGGCGCCAGCCAGGCGCCGGCACGCAGCGAGGGCGCGGAGGAACGGTGTGGCCAGGCAGGAGCTGGACATGGGCTGGTTTTTTTTTAGCCGGGGTGAGCGCACAGCGCGGCGAGGGGTGCAAGCCACGGCGGGTGTATGGTCCAGCGTGGGGTGGGGGCTGAGCTGAGCAGGGTGCTGGAGGCACAGGGGAGCAGTTGCAGGGTGATTTATACCACGCGTGCGTGTGTGCACCCACGTCTAAAGGTTCATCGATTGCCTGGAGGACGGGCGGTATCGATAAACTCTGCCTTTATAAAGGGGGGGGTGGTGGTGGTGGTGTTTGTCCCTGTTTGACTTCGTGTGTGAGCTGCCGGCCACGCGGCAGTGGGCGATGGGGGCCGATAATGCCGAGGTGGGGGTCGATAAGGCCGAGGTGGGGGTCGATAATGCCGAGGTGGGGGGAAGGCAGCCGTGCCCCAGGACCGGTGGGTCCCTCCCCAGCGTGGGGACAGTGCACTGGGGAGCCAGCGTGACACCGGGACGCTGCTCCAGTCCTGTCCAGTGCCAAGGGGGTGGTGGGGAGCCCCGGATTTCCCCACCAGCTGATGGGGCTCTGGGTGGACCCAGCCCTGGACCGCTCTGTCCATCCCCTGCCCACGGCTGCGTCTCCCAGGGCAGTGCCAGCGCCGGGATTTTGGCACTTCGGGCTCAGAATTGGGATTGGGTCAGGGGCCCCCAGGGACACCCAGACCCCACGCAGCCACCCCTTGCCCGGCAGGCACACGGCTGCACCGCCGTGGTGCCCGGCTTGGCCCCTCACCGCGGCATCCAGCACCGGGCACCGGTGTCTCTCGCCGGTTTGCAGGAGGGACCTTTGTTAAAACATCAACGATGCGGTAAATTTTTTAACTTACCAAATAGATCAATATCAAATTATCATGTCTCACATTCATAACTCTTAAGCAAGCAACAATGGAGAGAGACAAGGTCACTGGAGAATAAATAGCAGCAAAAGCTCTTAATGATCTATCATTCTCGACAACCCCAGGCACCCAGCACCAGCCCAGTGACAAGATCATTAATAAAACTCTGCAGGAACGCTATCGATTGCTTTGATGGATGATCACAGGTAGCAAATACTGTAAAACACCTGGTTGTCACACTCTAAAATGAGTAGTTTGACTCGCACCTCGGCGCGGGGACCCGGCGGCGACTCTGCCGGGTTTTCTCCTCGGTGGTGGTTTCGGCAGGGAGGGTGGTCAGCGGTGCAGCCTTGGGGTGCCAGTGGCCGTGGCTGTGGCCCCCAGTTTGGGGCTGCCATCTCTGCTGGAGCCCCGTGGCCCCCAGCTCCACTCCCCCAGCACTGTTCATCCCTATCGACGGGACCCGTTAATTAAAAGCCTTGTTAAAGCACCTGGTTACGGTGCCCCAGAGCCCAGGCTGGGACTCGAGCTGGCCCCGAGTTGGGTTTTGATGACTCAGGGCCACTGGATGAACTGGGAGACCCGCTCCAGCCCCTCACCGCTGGATGCAGCCCCAAGGCACCAACACAGCCTGGACCTCAGGGATGGATGGGGGGTCCCCAAGGCCGTGGGGTCTGCTCCCCCCCCCCGCCACGCTGCGCCCATCAGGGCTGTGTGTGTGTGTGTGTGTGTGTGTCCCCGCGGCTCCAGGCGCTTCTCCTTCGAGCCACATCCGCATTGACGGCCTGATCATATGTACACAACCATTCAATTACCCCGTAATGGCTACAGGCTATTAAGCCATCAATCTCCTTCATTAAGGGCTGCCAGGCCCGTCCCAGCATCGCGCAATAAAACCATTAAACCGACAACAACAACAACAACAACCACCACCACCCAAAGCAGTAGCTTTTTAACGCCTTGGCCGTGGCCGTCCCGCAGCGTTTCCCCCCCCCCCCCCCCCCCCCCCCGTCCGCATCCCACCCTGGGGCACCCAGGGTCCTGCTATCACCTTGCTGGGGTGTCCCCAAGGAGCTGGGGGCTGCCCACCCACCCCCCCCGTGTCCCCCCGCTCCCAGTGCTCCCAGCAGCTCGGCCCTGCCCTGGGCTCAGCGGGCGGCTCAGCACGCCGGGACCTGCTCTCGTGCTTTATAGCTGACATTATCTTTTATTGCCGTATAAAAGTCAAAGCTCCAGTGGCTTTACGGCTGCCGTGCCGGCGTTTGGCACCTCGCTGTCCCCATCACCGGGCATGGTGGGGACAGGGCACTGCCCCGACCCCCCCGGTCCCTTCACTGGGGCCACAACTGGTCCTGCCACACTCACATCAGAGACACGACTGGTCCCAACACCCACGATGCAGAGGCACAACTGGTCCCCCAACACCCACAGCTCTTGCACTGGCCTGGCACCAGCTAGGAGGGGGGGACCTGACCCCTCCAAAATAGGGTGACCCCTTCTCACCAAGGGGAGGCGGGGGTCGTAGGCGGGGGCTGGCACCATTTGGACCCAGCATCTGTGGGATCCCAAATCCCTGCACCCCAGTAGGAGCCCTGGTTTGAGAGGGGCAGGGCCAGAGTTGGACGAGGCGGGGGGGGTACAGGGAGGGAAGGGGGGTGTCCTGCTGCTGTGCCACAGCCAGAGCCACGCCGGCAGCGCCAGCACCTTGAGCTGGGACTGGCACCTTGTCAGAGCCCGTCACGTCTGCCACCCCCCCGTGCCCCCCCTGCCACGGTGCTGGTGGCAGGGAACATCTGCCACGAAGCGTTAGGGTCGGGGGGGCAGCTGGTGGGACTCCCCCCCCCCCAGCCAGCGCCACCGGGGCAGCTCCTCGCTGTGACATTGATGCAGGGTGGCAGGGCGAGGAGGGGATGGGGGGGTGGATGGATGGGAGCGGACAGACAGACGGCCAAGTGAGCGCTGCTGCCCACGCCGGGGCCCCAGCCGTGTCGTGGGTCACCGGTGCCCGACGTTCGTGTCCCCTCCTTCTGTCCCTGGGGACACAGACAGCCCTGTCACCAGCGCTCAGCTTCTGGGGATGGACAGAAGACATCCTGCGTCCCTTTGCCCACGCCTTGTGCCCTCCCCTCCACCCGTGTCAGTGCCCCACGCTCCCGCACCGAGGCACCGAGGCCACTTACACTCAAAAAAGGGGAGCGGTGCTGGCCGGGCAGGGGTGGCCACAGCAGCCACGCAGGGACGTGGTGATGCCACCAGTGTCACCAAGACGTGGCACATTCCCTTGCAAAGCCCAGCGCTTGGGGGTCCCCGGGAGGGCGAGGGTCCCCCCGGCCCCCCCCCCACCTCCGCCCTGCCCGGGGCCCGCTGCGGCACCCGGGGCGGCGGGGACCCGCCGGTGTCGGGGCCGGTGGCCGGGACGATGCTGCCACCTGGTGCCGCGGCGTCGTGGCGACACCGGGACCGGGGGTGGCACCAGGATTGGCAACGGGGACCGGGGGTGGCAGCGGGACGTGTAACTGGGGTCCAGGGTGGCACCGGGACCGGCAACGGGTGTCTGGGGCAGCACCGAGACCGGCCCCGGGGGTCGAGGGAAGAACCGGGACCGGCAACAGGGACCGGCCCCAGGGTCGGAGCAGCACCGGGACCGTCAACGGGAGTCGAGGGGCATCACCGGGACCGGCCCCGGGGGTCAAGGGAAGGAAGCACCGGGACCGGCAACGGCTTTCAAGGCAGCACCGGGACCGGCCCCGGGGGTCGCGGGTAGCACCGGGACCGGTCCCCGTGGTCAAGGAGCAGCGCCGGGATTGGCACCGGCGGGGATCGGGGACAGCGGGGCCGGGGGTCTTGGGTCCTGCCGCGGCTCCGGGAGCAGCCCGGTGCTGCTCCGCCCCGCGGGAACCCGCCGGGACCGGAGACCGCGGGAAGCTGCCGTCCCTCCCCCGAGCCCGCCCCGGCCACGGCCACGGCCACTGCCACGGCCACGGCCCGGGGCGGGCTCGCCTCGACGGGGGGCGGGCAGGGCCGGTGCCGGTGCCGGTGCCGGTGCCGGTGCCGGTGCCGGCGCCGGACCCACCCGCGGCGGGGGCAGAGGGGCCGGGTCTCTCCCACCCGCCCGCCCCGTCGCGGCATCCCCGGGGGCGCTCCCGGCGACAGCTGCCGCGTTCCCGCCCGCCCTGCCCCGGGGGGGCCGCGCACCCCCCCCGGCCCCCCACCCCCGGAGCAGCGGGGACCCCCCCACACACACCACCACCTCCCCCACACACCCCTACCCCGCGTCCCTCCGCAGCCCCCCCCGAACCCCCCAGCGCCCGCCCCGCCGGGCCCCC